ATGCACAATTACTGTAAATTTGTTGTGTATTTTATTATGTAACTCTGTAATTAATTACACTACCATTTAAAAGTTTGGTATCACTTGTCATATTAATAGTTGTTATTCAATAATCACTTATAAAGTTTGCTTGAAATGAGACTGAAATTTTGTAACCTTGATAACAAAACCCAAAACGATGGTTTATTCACAATTGAAAGTATTTTGGGAACAATAAGAAGCAAAATGTATTTATTTATAGTAATAGTCATATTAGTATTCCAGTGGTAATCACCACTTTTGGAATCTGGATATTAATTTTATTGTAAGCTGAAAGATGTAAAATATTAGCATAATTTTAGAATATTTGCAACATAACAATATAAATGCAACAAAATTAATATAATCAATATTACTTAACGTTAAATGATACTGTATGTCATCGCAAATAACATCACAACTGTTGCAGCAATCACATCGCATTACTGGTTCTGAGTGCTGATCGGTTGGCATTACTACTGCTGAGTGCTGACTGGTTGGCATTACTGCTGCTGAGTGCTGACTGGTTGGCATTACTGCTACTGAGTGCTGATTGGTTGGCATTACTGCTACTGAGTGCTGATTGGTTGGCATTACTGCTACTGAGTGCTGATTGGTTAGCATTACTGGTACTGAGTGCTGATTGGTTAACATTACTGCTACTGAGTGCTGATTGGTTGGCATTACTGCTACTGAGTGCTGATTGGTTAGCATTACTGCTAGTGAGTGCTGATTGGTTAGCATTACTGGTACTGAGTGCTGATTGGTTAGCATTACTGCTACTGAGTGATGACTGTCCACACTAGAAATTCTCTGAAAAAACATGGTGTTAATTATGTTTTGCATTATTTGAGTAGGGCACTTCACAACCAATCAGATTGCGTATTCAGAACTAACTACTGTATAAAAGTATTCAATTACATTTAAACAGTAAAAGAAAATGACGAGGATAACGACTTTTAGGGCTTAAAAACACAAAAACGCAAAACAGAGTAGAATTTTAAATCACTCTGTGTGGGCTAATCTGAGGGACAGACAGGAAACACGGCTCCGCATCTGTCTGTGTGTATCTACAAAAACAAACAGGACGCCATCTGTTGGACTAAACTAGCTCATAACAAAGATCGCTCATCAGGCAATAAGTCATATTCTTTACAATGAGTTCACAGAAGTCAGAAACCACCTTTTATATATTTAATTTCTGGTCAAAACAGCTGCTGAGTACAACTTACTGTTTATTCAGGAGCTACTTCTGAGGAGATTAGATATAAGATAATTCCACATTATATTTACTTGTGGAGGCTTCTGTGTAATTTTCTGATCACAATTAAAATGAAAAGTGGTCTCTGACCTCTGCACAGTACTGTCTGACTGCATGTTATGACGTCCCAGAATAGAGTCGTCATTACTGCGGTGAAACTGCTGTGAGATATTCTGGTCATGTACTGTATCATGTCTGCTGCTATTATACCATAACTGCTAACCGCACAACTCTAAACAACTATATCTCAAGCCCAGATTAAGCCTGAGAGATTACAATCTCTTACAGTGTTGTAAAGACAAGATTACGAAGTCAGTGAAAGCTCAGTGGGCACTGCTCCAAACAGTGTCATACTGCGATTGATGGTGTATATATGAGGGAGATGGGCTTTGTGTGGGGGTCTGCGCTTCTAAGTGATGAAACTGCGCACTTATAAAACTATCACTATAACAAACACAAGGGCAAGAAGCGATGTTTGGGTTACAGAATGAGACGTATTCTCTGTGAGTTCTTTCAAGAAGTTCTCATATTTTCATTGTAGCAGCTCATTTCTGCCGTTTAATCTTCTCTCTCTGTTAAGGATTTCTCAGTACTACTGAAAAAGCCAAAAATTCGGATTTTTTTTTTCTGAATGTGCGCACACACTTGCAGTGCATCCAGCAATAAAGGCAGCTAAATATATGGGGCTGCTTCTTTTATAAAAGACAGAAAGCTCCAATTCCACACACTGATCCATTTTACTGACCAATGTGAACTGTTCAGATGTAAACAGAGTCATTCAGAGTGGTTTGGTGTGAAACGCTCAGTTCTAGAGAAACTTGCCGAGTCAGAATTGTTCACAGTGGTGGTGATAGGAACCAGACGTCCACCTCTAAAAGCTCCCTCACAGAAAGTTACTACATGAAATGGTTATGAATTCACTGCCTGATTGTTTTACGATAGTTTTGAGATAAAGTTTGACCTGATTTTTTTTTTTCGTAAACCCACGGTAGATGAGGCCAAAGAGAACTTCAGATATTCCACAATTTTAGCATCATCAACATTTAATATAAAAAGTCAGAAGGCTCGTGAAATTTCACTGGTGGTTGTGATAGCAAATAAAATTTGTGTTGTAGTCATGGTGACTCCTGGTTCCTATCACCACCACTGTGAGGAAATCTGAGTTGGTAAGTTTCTCTACAATGAACCGTTTCACATTAAGCCACTCTGAACGACTCTGATCTTAAGTTTTGGACTGAGACTAAAGTTAACAGTAGTTGTCAGGTCTTTGTCCCCCCTTTGCTGCAGTTAACAGCCTCTACTCTCCTGGGAAGCCTCTACTAGATGTTGGAACATTGCTGTGAGGATTTGATTGAGCATTAGTGAGGTCAGGTACTAATGTTGGATGATCAGTTCTGAATCACAACTTATACCCAAAGGTACTGGATGGAGCTCCATCACTCCAGAGAGTGCAGTTCTGCTGCTCCACTGCCCAGTGCTAGGGGGCTTTATATCCCTCTAGCCCATGCTTGGCATTGGGCATGGTGACCTTAGACTCATGTGCGTCTGCTCCTTTTCTACACTACATTTAATATTTAAACTGCAGCACATATTCAGTTCAAATGAACTACAACGATGCACTTGAGAAAGTAGATGAACCATGCAAGAACCCCCTCAGCCCATTGCCATAGCAACGCCCCTGTCCTGGATTCCGCTGGTAGCAGCGCAGAGGAATCCAGTTATTGAAGAATTCCACTAAGCGACCTTCCCATCGCCACCTTATTAGGACGAAAGGGAGTTGGAGGAGGCAGCCGCAGCTGTATTTATAGCATGTGTATACAAAACGAGAAAGGATGAGGGATGAAAACACAAAAAAAGGAAAACAGAAAGAAAAATACAGAGAGAAATGTTACAGGCACGTCTTCCAGAAAGAGCTGTTCAGTACTTTTTGTGAAAAACGAATACAAATTTCTTCTTAAACACCTTGAAAATCATCAATCAGCAGTTATAACACAGAAATAAAAGGGGCAACAGAGACCCGCAGTTTGCCTAATAGTGGGCCCACATTCATCCGTACAGATCAAGGTAGCATCAATCAGCATTAAACCTGTCAGATTCATCAGATATAACAGGGGACTGATGCCTTTTATATTTATGGTATTAGTGTTATAACTGCTTATTAATTATTTTAGGTTTATGGTCTAATTAATATCCTTTAATAAGCTAATTTTAAACCATTCGTAAACACTTTATATAATAAAGGAATCTTATTGTACAGAGATACTACATGTTTAGATGATTGGACAGACTGTTGGCTGAATTTACGGAGCTTCCCGCACTCGCACTGCACTATTCATGTTTACAATATCACGCAGTCAGCTGGCGCAGGAGGCACACGCCAACAAACAGGGATAATCTATATAGAGGAATTTATGTTCAACTGCATTGCATTTCATAGAGACGTATGAGTAACACAAACAACATAATTCTTATTAAGTGAATTTAAACTATAATTCATTTCACTTCATTACAGGAAAACATAAGTATATTAAATATGTAACATTATATAATCCTATTACTGTAACGTTACTTTTTACCACATTACCCCAACACTGCTAATCACTGAACCACCTACAGTGCTGCTTGAAAGTTTGTGAACCCTTTAGAATTTTCTATATTTCTGTGTAAATTTGAGCTAAAAAGTCATCAGATTTTCACACAAGTCCTTATAGTAGATAAAGAGAACCCAATTAAACGAATGAGACACAATTTTTAGAATATTAGAATAGAAATGATCTAATATTACATATCTGTGAGTGGCAAAAGTATGTAAATCTTTAGGATTAGCAGATAATTTGAAGGTGAAAGAGAATGTGGGCCATGCAGCAAGACAATGACCCTAAGCACACCAGTTCTACCAAAGAACGGTTAAAGAAGAATAAAGTTAATGTTTTGGACTGGCCAAGTCAAAGTCCTGACCTTAATCCTGTAGAAATATTGAGGAAGGTTCATGGGAGGAAACCCACCAATATAACAGAGTTGAAGCAGTTTTGCATGGTGGGCTAAAACTCCACCAAGCCGATATGCAGGACTAATCAATAGATACTGGAAACGTTTAGTTGCAGTTATTGCTGCTCAAGGGGGACACACCAGACACTGAGAGCAAAGGTTCACATACTTTAGCCACTCACAGATGTGTACTTTTGGATTATTTTCCTCAATAAATAAGTGACCAAATCTAATATCTATGTCTCATTTATTTAACTTGGTTGTCTTTATCTGCTATTAGGACTGAAAATGAAAGTCTGATGAAGTTTTAGGTCAAATTTATGCAGAAATATAGAAAATTCTGAAGGGTTTATAAACTTTTGAGCGCCGCTGTACCTGCAGGACACACACAAAGCAAAGTGAATTTCTCTGCAGTATCTTTATCAGATGTGATGATGCCAAAACAACAGTACAGATTCCAAAAATAGACGTACAGTACAACATAAAAACACACAAAAACAACACAGAATGCACATCTTGTCAGGAATCAGGAGTACTTGATTCAAAAGTGATTCAAAAATAGTTCCACATGAATTAAATATATAACATCAACGCAATTTCTGCCAAATGTGAGTAAACCGAAACAAAAAATTGTGGCGATGCGCCATTTTATTCATGTACAATGAATAAAATTTAAACCTACTAAAGTCAGTGCTGTTTTTCAGCGCAGTAAGACATATAAACACAAGCAGACCTGTTTTTGATGCGTAGCTGAACTCCTCCGCTGCATCGGTCTTTGCGGGCCCGCTGGCAGGAGGACGGAGTGAGGGGTCGGGACTCGCCGCAGCACGGACCTGCACAGCACTCTCTAAACAAACACGTACAGAGATACGGATACAGGATATAATTACACTCCTCACATACAGATATTTCAAACAACCACTGCATTTAAGCAGTAAACTTCATAGTCCGCTGTAGCATTTCATTCTACGTTTCCCTAGTTTGGACCACGCCTTCAATATATCAAAAGCTCGGACCAAAAGCTTGCATCTCTATTTTTGTCGTTTTTCAGTTTTTGAAAGTATTTGTTGCCGTTTGCATTGTGTGTAAATTTCATGAAGAATGGACCGAAGCAAACGGCCCAAAATTACTTAGAAAAAATTCTGGTTCCATTGACTTACATTAAAAGCAAAGTAGGTTTTTTCCTTCTCCTGTAAAGTTACTGTTTTGGAGATACGAGGTTTTGTTCTGACAGTATGAGTAGAGACTGTACGACTGAAGGGGAGAGGACTCTGAGAACTTGGGCTGGAGCTTCTGGAGCTTCTGCTTTGAATCAGATGCCAGTATTGATTCACACCATGTTCTTTTTGAGGTGTCTGGTGCAAAACTGAATGTGGTATTATCGCTCCCAACTGGGCTGGTATGTCCAAGTGTTTTCAAGTCATTTTTGTGTCATCAAGTGGACGGAGAGATCTTTCCGAAAAACACTGCTGGTGTGGACAAAGATATTTTTGAGAACAAGGAAAAAAACTATGGTCATAAAAATATCCAGATACATGTGGACGAGGCCTTTTTTCACTTGGTCTGGTGGGGGAGAGTTTAGCCAGTACCTCACCGCAGCGTCCCCAGTGTCCTCTGATTTGGCATGCACTTTTGTATGCGCTCCAATTCATACGACTGGGGATTCGGTGAGGGAATCTTTCCAAATGAGAGCGTCATAATACAGCCACGGCCTCAAACAGCCAGTGCTGACCTCTGTTGAAGGGTCTTCTGAGACCGTCAGCTTCTTCAGAAGACGCAGTTAAAAGACTTTATTTGCTGTCTTATAAATCAAGGCAACCCGAGGCAACACTCTGAAAATCCTTCTGCACGTCTAGGCCAAGAATCTGACCAGTGGACCATTTTATCCACAAATTTAGTTTAATGAGGGAAGAAACTGATCAACTTTGGCTCGTTTCACCAGATAACTGAGGAGAACTGAGGAGCAGTGATATTCTAAAGACATTGTGGCTGGTCTTATAGGCCTACAGGAGCCTAAGAAAGTATCTTAAGCCAATGTCAATATCAGGCATTCAGATCATAAGTCTTGATATCAAAATTCTGCCTATGATCTTCTAGCCGAGCCAGTGAGGCAAGACAGACATCTAATATAAAACTGTTTAGAGTGTGTAATCCAATTTATATACAGCATTAAAAAAATCTTAAATGAGTGTTGGAAACAGGGCATGTAAATTTATATCCTCTGTTACTTCCTAATTATGCTGGCAGTTAAGCTAATGTGTAGGCCTTTAGTCGAGCTCCTGAAGTCCTAACCAATGGGAGAGCTCACCAGGCTGAGGGGAAAAAACCTCTGGATAACTGGATAATTTTCAGGAATTTAACTCTTTGACTCCAACCAAAACTTAACAATGAAATAAGAATATTACAACACATCCGCAGTTCAAATGCAACAAGAATGACGATTACATTAAAATTATCAAAATCACTGGGCCTTCTCCGAAGCCTAGAAGGCTCTGAGGGTTCCCCACTGCTGTACAGGCGAGGACACTAGACCACCAGCACTAAACCATGTAGCATGTTAGCATGTGCATTATCTTGTGTTTTAGCTTGCACTGGCTCTTGGTCGGCTTAGGCTCTGATCAGTAACTTCTGTTTGGTAATTTAAGACTGTATTTGTCTAAGGAGGCACCAGTCTGGCCTTTAACCACACACCGTTCCTGCGTTCTGTTAATTGCTGTGTTGTATCTGGCACAACGTCCAAACCGGATACAGGCAGAGGAGAGCATGACACCCGCGACTGCTCTGCGAGTTCCTGTGTTGTTTGGTTCAGAACTTCTGAACCCACCGGATCAGTGCTTGAGAGCTTAATCAGAATATCTGTGGGCAAGCACATATATATACACACATCGATCAGGCATGACATTATGATCACCTTCTTGTTTCTCTGTGAGGGTCCATGAGGGTCCTGACCACTGAAGAACAGGGTAAAAGGGGGCTAACAAAGTATGCAGAGACACAGATGGACTACAGTCTGTAACTGTAGAACTACAAAGTGCACCTATATAGTAAGTGGAGCTGATAAAATGGACAATGAGCGAAGAAACAAGGAGGGGGTCATAATTTTATGCCTGATCAGTATATATACGATCAATATTACTGAAAATCGCAAAAGTGATGACATTATGCATTTTATCGCTCTTTAAATATCATCAACCAATTAACTGCACACATACATACTTTGAACACCACTTGCAAAGACCATAAAATGAACTTGTCCAGAAGAAGAGTGCCAGCGCACCAATTTGGCAATATTTTGATTTTCAATCACACAAATGCAGAGAACCACCAGATGGTAACAGCGTTACATGCTGTCGTAATTATATGGAAATTATATTATCATCAGAGAAAATGCAAAATAATATAGAGTAAGACTCTGTAATGCTCACCTGTAGTACTTTAACCTAATTCCATTTGGATCACGGTAATACATTGTTTAGGGGAATACAATATGGCTAAAGTTTAGCAGGTACGCCGGTTTAAGGCAGTTATGAACATGTCTAAAACCATCATTCCCCAGTTTTCTGACCTAAAAGTTGCTAAAATAATGTTTTAACTGTTTTTATTACCTTGTAGTGTCTCAAGTTTTATTAAAAAGCAAAAAAAAATAAATATGCCAACAAGACAATTCAAGATAATATTTGAATTATAATGATAATAATTGATGGAATATTTAAAAATGAAAATCTTTGACAGCTGCAGCCTTCACTCCTGATAAAATGGCCAAGGAAAATAAAAAAGCCCCAAGAAGGAGCAAAATTTTTAGAGCAGCTTAAACACACACTTCCTCATAGATATCTGCTGATGACACACACACACACACACACACACACACACAGACAGACACACACACACACACAGACACACATGCACACACAAGGAAGCGTGTGTCTGTTTTAACACACCTGCTGAAGGCAAATTCAGTTCCATTCATTCAAATCAGCTCCAATCAGTTCAGTTTCTGGTCAGTTCGGTTCAGTTTCACTTCTAAATGACATGAGATTTACACACACACACACACACACACACACTACCCTTAACCACTCCTGGCCGCTGCTCTATCTGATTAAGTCCAAGGTGTCGTGGGAAAGTCATAAAGCAGAATCATATTACACTTTTTACTAAGCTTTCCTCTCTCTCTCTCTCTCTCTCCCTCTCTCTCTATCTCTCAGTGTCTCTCTCCCTCTCTTTCTATAGTTATATGCAGAAGTTTGAACACTGCCCATCAAATGACATGTTTTGTTGATTTTCTAAGTGAAAATAAGTTACAGCACACTTAAATAAGGCATCTTTCTGCTAACTTTAGTGCAGTTTCTGTGTTTAACATACTGAAAAGAACACTTGCTCAGGCCATACTTCATGCTTTTTTCCTAATATGTCAAATAAAACAACTAAAGAAAACATGGAATTTGATGGGGGTGTTCAAACCTCTCCATACAACTGTATCTTTCCCTCAAATAATTAGGAAAACAGATACATGCAAAGTTATTGCCATACAAACACAGAAATATATTCCAGTTTAAAACTGACCACCTAAAGCTCACGCAGTTCAGGACCAGCTCAGCCAGAAAAACACATCCCATTCCCACCCATCCTACCACACAATCACACACTTATCCATCGGATCCCCTACAAACCCCCCCAGGACAGAGGATTTTTGTGGAATATGCAAACACACAGAATTCTGTGTTTATTGAAAAACCAAATCTGGGCTCTGCGGTGAAAATCTCGGCCCCGGGCGAGCGTCCCTTTACGCAATAACGGACGGAGAAAATAAGGAAACGAGCACATTCCTGCTGCCCCCAGTAAAGCATGAAATACGCACTCTGGAAATCCTAATCGGATCCTGGCCACGTTATTCTAACATCGATTAACGCAATTAACGAGGCTTAGGGAACAGAACGGAGCCTGTGCTGCCAAAGCCAATTAAAATAGAGATCATATGTATCTGAGTGTGAAGGACCTGTTCAACATCTGCCAGTGCAGCGTGTTTAGCTGGATGCTCTGCTGGAAGTGGATTTGGGACTCTGCAGCTGACGCAGTGTATAAAGGCAATTCCGGTCCTGAATTCAGAAGAGAAGCCATGAGACGATGTCTGCCACTGCTTTAGTGTGCGTCCTGTGTGCACATGCATGTTTGACTGTAATGTCAACTCCCTTTTCAATGAATTCAAAAGGAACTCTATTAGAGATGATCTTTGTCTTGTGTGTGTCAGAGCCCGACCAATATATCAGTCGGCCAATAATATTGGCTGATATTATAAATAGTGGCTTTTAAAAACATCATTTACTTTTTATAGACTGAACTGGAGAATATGAACCCAGATCACCATCATGGGTCAAATAACAAAAACATCGACAGTACTGTGCAAAAGTCAGTGACCAGAAGCCACAGAAACTAAACACACATATCCAGTGGTATGCAAAAGTTTGAACACCCTCGGTCAAATTGCATGCTTTTGAGTTTCTAAGAGGACAAACTTAAATATGGCGCAACATTAACAGAATATTTAACATATTGGGAAAAATAAAATATAAAATGTGCCATATCTTTTCTACAGGCCACATTTAAATTTTTTCCCAATATCTCTTTCAGCAAATAAGCAGTAACTGTGCATTAAAATGTGCAGATGTGAGTCCTTTATTCCAGCTTCCATTCTTTTCAGGAGCCTCACTTTCAGTTCCTCAAAGAATCTGCAGACACTCCTCCAAAGTTCAGTCTTAGAAGCTGGTTGATCATTTTCTGAAGTAATCAAACACAATCAGTGGTGTTGAGGTCTGGACTCTGGGGTGGTCAGTCCATTGTTCAGCT